TTGCCCTCATCATTCTCAAAACATTTGCTCTCCACCTAAGCCCCTGGCATCAGCTCCTCATTTCCCCCTCCCTCCCCACTATCTCTTGCACTGATTTTTCACTTGTATACATCTAAACTACTCAAATACGTTGTGAATCTCTGGCAGGCAAGCATCATGAGCACTTGCTTCTGCATGTACTCCCCAGAGGTTTAACACTTGTGTTTTGCAGGTGTTAAAGCAAGACAAAGACGTTCAGACCAAAGGGAACAGACTTTGGAGGTTAGAGAGTGGGGAGGGCAAGGCAGAGAAGATGAAGTAGAGCAATAGGCTAGAGCAGCAGTTCTCAACCTGTGGGTCGCCACCCCTTTGGCCGGGGTCAAACGACCCTTTCACAGGGGCCACTCCATTCATAACAGAAGCAAAAGTACAGTTATGAAGTAGCAATGAAAATAATTTTATGGCTGGAGGGTCACCATAACATGAGGAACTGCATTTAAAGGTCGCGGCATTGGGAAGGCTAAGGACCTCTGGGCTACAGGGTTGACCTTTTGGTGCTGGGGAAGACAGTAATTCACAAGAAGGTGAAGAGAGTTTGGAAGGGCACCGGGCAAGTACTGGTAGGTTTGAAAAATAGTTTAAACTATTGAATACAAAATTAATGCTCTGAAATGTAAAACCCCCACATACATCACAATTTAAGAATTTTTAATAAAAAAGATACAGAACAAATATTTATTGATTAAACAATCCTTTGCTTCTGTCACCTTCTGTATTCATGAATGATATTTAAAACCTTAGAACGGATAAAGCTTCTAGTTTACTTATGTGACCCTGGGCATGTCACCTACTCTCTCTGGGGACTAGTTACTTTTTCTGTAAAAGCAGAAGATGATCTGATCCGGTCTTTCCTAGATGGAAAGAAAATTATAACTGCATCTAATAGATAAGTCTTAAGAAGTGATGGTTGGTTTGGCTTTTTAAATCATCATAATAAACGATGTACTTTCTTTTTGTATTGCAACACCCTGTTTACTACATCCATATTTCAGAGATTGTGCAAGGCCATTGAACAAGTCTGAGAAGACAGTAAAAAAACGATCATTCAGTGTCCAACGACAAACCCTTCAAGGAGCGTATACTGGACCTTCCCAGGCCCAGAAAGAGCTAATCCCCAGCAGATGTAAAAAAATCAAACACAAACTTCACTAAGCCGACCCCATGAACCATGCATGTTGTCGGTTTGGGGAAGGAAAAAAAAAATGACCTTCTGGTTTCTCTGCCACATCTACCCGGTCCCTGCGACTTTACCTGCTTGTACCTCGCATACAGGTACAGGAGCTGCTCCCGGCTGGCCACCTGAACGAGGCCTTGGAGGTGCGCTGCAGCCTTCTCGAACAGCTCGGACAGGTTCCCCGACGCTTCGGTCTCCGGACTCGGCAAGGATTCGCCGACATCCCCAGAGTCGTCCCCAGAGCTCAGTTCGCCGCCGCTGTCGCCCGTGGTGGCCCCGGTGGACAGGAAGGGCGAGGCCATGTCGCCCGGCTCAGCACCCCTCTCGGTCGGGTCAGCCCAGTTCGCGCCGGACGTACCAGCAGATCCGGGCCTCCCAAACCAGCCTCCGTCCGAAACCCGAGCTCCTGGGGGGCTCCCGCTCCCCTCTGCTCTCCC